AAAAGACGCAAGGGCCGCATTCCTAAAATTGAAGAACATATGAAACTCAACACAACCGTCACCCAACATGAAAGTCAGAATCTTCAATACAAATGTCAAGACAGTTATACTGTACACAGTTCAAAATTCGAGAACTACTACAACCATCATCAAGAAGATACAAGTATTTATCAATAGTTGTCTATGCGAGATACTCAACATTCATTGGACGGATACCATCATCAACATCCTTCTATGGGAGAGAACAAACCATGTTCCATCTGAAGAGGAAATTAGAATAAGACATTGGAAGTGGATAGGACATACATTACGGAAATCATTAAACTGCATCACGAGGCAGTCCCTAACTTGGAATCCTGAATGGTAACGGAAAAGTGGAAGACCGAAGAACACTCTGCGTCGGGAATTGGGAGCAAACATGAAAGGGATCAACAGCAGTTGGAAAGAACTGGAAAGGTTCACGCAGGACAGTGTTGGATGCAGAGTGCTTTTGGGAGGTCTATGTTCCTTGACGAGGGGTAACAGGCGTACTTAACAAAGTAAGTGCCCTTGTATATAAACATCGAAATAACGGAGTTGGTGAATGACGGAACTGCATAAGTCCAATAAGAGGATAGATTTTTGTACACGTATATCTTTTACACTCGTTGATTTGGATAAACAATTAGAGGGACTAAACGAAGGAAGCGACTAAAAGAGAGCGAATCGTTTTGAAAATCAATTAAACTCGATTCAGCACTCTGCATCCAACACTGTCCTGCGTGAACCTTTCCAGTTCTTTCCAACTGCTGTTGATCCCTTTCATGTTTGCTCCCAATTCCCGACGCACAGTGTTCTTCGGTCTTCCACTTTTCCGTTACCATTCAGGATTCCAAGTTAGGGACTGCCTCGTGATGCAGTTTAATGATTTCCGTAATGTATGTCCTATCCACTTCCAATGTCTTATTCTAATTTCCTCTTCAGATGGAACATGGTTTGTTCTCTCCCATAGAAGGATGTTGATGATGGTATCCGTCCAATGAATGTTGAGTATCTCGCATAGACAACTATTGATAAATACTTGTATCTTCTTGATGATGGTTGTAGTAGTTCTCGAATTTTGAACTGTGTACAGTATAACTGTCTTGACATTTGTATTGAAGATTCTGACTTTCATGTTGGGTGACGGTTGTGTTGAGTTTCATATGTTCTTCAATTTTAGGAATGCGGCCCTTGCGTCTTTTCTCCGGTTCAACAACATTGTCGAAAGCTTTTCCTTGTACTGACAGTAGTATGATGCCTCTGTACTTCTCACATTTGCTCAAATGTCTTTTCTTTGGTATGTTGATGAGGAGTGCTTCTTTCCAATCCGTCGGCACTTGCTACTCCTCACAGATCTTCTTGAATGGAAGGTGAAGCATATTTGTAGCTACTTCAATATCTGACTTCAGTGCATTGGCTGGTATATTGTCAGGTCCTACAGCTTTTCCACTCTTGATTTTTGTGATGGACATCCTGATTTCTTCTATTGTTGATGGGGTGACATCTATAAGAACCTCTGTTTGTGTTGCTTCGATATCCGGTGGATTTACTGGAGCTGGTCTATTCGAAAGTTCCCTTTATGTACTCTACCTATCTGTTTCTCTGTTCTTGAATCTCCGTGATTGTCTTTCCTTCTTTGTCCTTGACCGGTCTCTCTTGGTTAGTATTATCAAAACAAAATTCCTATAGAATTGAGCTATCTGAATGTTTTGTACTCAAAGTCGTCAGACGAATTTGGTTTTCTAATATGTATAAATCCAATAAGTTCAAAAGAGGTTTCATTTTAAAGTAAATGCTGACGATGCTCTTCAGAATAACTATCAAAGTTTCATAATCAAATCATTCAGCTCAGAGAGTATAGTATCTTCAACATTCTCACACTAACTAAAATGTATTCTTTGTTGATTCAAAGAATGATTATTGTTCTCTTTTCTCACAGCGGTTACTCAAGTAGTGTTTTAGATAAGATATCGTAGAATGTTTTTCCCTTTCTTTATAACAATCAGTTCTATTGTATCTATTTCAAGGTTTATCACAAAAAGTGATAAGATTGATTTACAAGATTTCAAATAATCATTGATTGTCATGTTCATATTAAAATCAACTGTTACCATACTCATAGTATTCATTGTATCATACAACAGAGTACAATGTTATCAGAATAGCTAAATGTAGGGAATCGACAAACTACTAGAATAAAAATTTGGAAATTTAGCAATATTTAGCCCTTCTATACAGTAAGTTAAACAGAAATATTTCTAAGGAATGAATATAACATAAAACTTCAAAACAGATAGAAAGAATGACTTACTCCAAGATCAATCACATCTGATACAAAACATTCATAGAAAAATAAAGTTGAAAATATATTGAATTACTGAGTTTTGTTCTCTGATCTAAATGTTTTGGTAATGAAGCTCTCATTATTCTTATGAACGACATCATCAGCACAAATTTTAGGTAAAAGTGAAATGCTCGAATTTCCCCACATATAGCTTACAGTTTGTCTTGTAGACCTCGATGTTGATTGGTTATTATTGACCTGTAATCTGTCATTGTTTACTTCATAATTTTGATTGTATCACCTTTTGATTCAATTCTTGATCCTTTATTTATTCATAATTATTCTGATCAGATGTAGATAGTATTAAATGTACAAATAAATTTTCTATAGATTTAAACAAATTATAATATGAATTCACCTGGTATTGTTTGGCTTGTATCTTCCCATTGAGGTTTAAGACTGCAATTGATCAGTCTGTTATTGGCATATGTGCATACTGTGCGTATGTCTCGATATTGCTTAATTCACAAGCTTTTTGTAACCAATGATGGGTAGTGACTAACAGTAGAATCCAGGACGCTCAGGTATATCCAGATGACGAGCTCCAAATAGGACGAAACGCGCGTCAAACTGAATTCCATTGCTAGCCACTATCTATCATTTCTTTCCTAGTTTTTACTTAGACCAATACTAAGTAACTACTTATTTTCTCTTCTATTAGTTTTGTTTACATATTATCCAAGGTAAAAGAGAAAAACAAAAAAACTCAAACACTATGCTTAATTAATAAATACATTTCCATAAACATCTGTCATTTAGAAGAAAAGAAAACAAAAGAGGAAACATTAAAAAAAATTATTTTTCATTTATATTGAAGTTAGTTTATCAATAGTATCAACCTGGTTTCAGACCTTATTGTTTGTCTTTTCATTTAATGATAATAACATTAGAAGTGAAAAATTGTTTTTAATAGGGTGGGGTGAGACTATAATTTATGGATAACATTTGAGAAACGTTGAAGTGACCTTGAGAGTGTTCATCTAATAAGTAGGACCATATAAAGGTTATGAAATATTGTGGGGGATTACTTACTTACATACTCACTTACGCCTGTTGCTCATAATGTAGTATAAGCCGCCGACCAGCATTCTCCAACCCACTATGTCCTGGGCCTTCTTTTCTAGTTCCATCCAATTCTTGTTCATTTTTCTCATGTATATCTCCATTTCTCGGCGTAATGTGTTCTTTGGTCTTCCTCATGTCCTTTGACCTTGAAGATTCCATGTGAGGGCTTGTCTTGTGACGCAATTAGGTGCTTTTCACCTCCCCTGATGCTAGTCGTTGTTATCCAACTTGCATCCAATGTGTTTCACTGATCTCAAGCACCTCTAGGTTGTATCTACTCATTTATGCAGCGATTTGGAAGAATCTCCCGCTCTCCCACATTGTACGAGTATTCCATGTACTTAAATAAATGGTTACTCTAGTTGTCAGAAGGGGCAGCGGACTCGTGACTTCCGAAGGAACTCGGCTTTCATCATGAGGCGCCATAACTCTTCTAAATGGAGACCTGACTTCCAGGGCAGAGTTTAAAAGGTTTGGATAGTTTTTCCTGGTTAGCGTTTTTTTAGTGAGTTAGTTTTCTACGGGATGGGGTCGCTGACCCCATGTCCAACCCTCCTGATTTACCGGAGCTTGGGACCGGCAGTAGCCACTGAAGGGACTCCAGGAGGAGTTATGGTGAGGGATTAGAATTGTAAGTTTTATTTCAATGGTCGAGATCATGAGTTAATTGAAGATAGATCATTATGGAAATAGTGGAAGCATTGGATTGCCGTTTCGTTTTAATGTATGAATCATCAGAATTGCGCATTCTTGATTCCGCCCCGCGAAATTCCAACCCAAGACCTATCAGTCTCACATGCAAGCACTTAACCACTAGACAATTGAGCTGACTGGCATTCAACTGTGTTAATGAATCATAACCTCAACCATTGAAATTACTATAATATCTACAAAAACCATAATGATTTGAAATGATGAGTCCATATAAGTTAGATCACTATTGAAAATCTGGAAACACTGGATGACCATTTTGTAATTTAATCTTTAATAAGAAACCTTGTGTTACGGTAATAATGATAAGATGTTCACGTAAACTAGGAAAGATGAATATACAAATAAAAAACTGGGACATTGGTCAAATTAAAATAAAAAAGGATTGAACAGATGAAGATTTATAATACGTGGCTTATTTATGAAGTGACCTGATCTTGAACCATTGTAAACACAGGGACTAAATGTACTTTTTTTAGGGTAGAGAAGTTTGATGTTTAACCTTCAAGTATAGTCATCTTACTGATTTAGGTAGAATTTTCGAGAAACGAAAGTGAATTAAGAAAGCTTCGTCTGTTTAACTATGCTTATCATACTTTACTAAAGAAAGATGATGCTGTTATAATAGTTGACTTCTTTCTCGTTAAACATTCCGATGCATACTCACTAAGATGCAAGAATAAGACTCTTTGAATAAACAATTTAGTATCTTTAATTTTAAGATCTATGATTTATTCATTCAAAAGTGTCGCAACAATGTAAGAGTGCACTACGGAAACGTTCCAAACTAGATTGAAAAGGCAACCTAAACCTTCAGGTCTTTAATTCATAAAACAATATTAGCTGTTGAACTAATGAAATGTTAGCTATTGTTAAAAAAGTAGTTTATTTGTAATTTGGAACTTATTATCAAATCACAACAACAACTCTACTAGGGATTAAAACTATAGTGTTCTCTTTCAAATAAAACTGCAATATCTGCAAATAGCTAAATTGGGATGCAGCGGTTCATAAGTCATCATCATCATCATCATCATCATCATCATCATCATCATCATCATCATCATCATCATCATCATCATCATCATCATCATCATCATCATCATCATCATCATCATCATCATCATCATCATCATCATCATCATCATCATCATCATCATCATCATCATCATCATCATCATCATCATCATCATCATCATCATCATCATCATCATCATCATCATCATCATCATCATCATCATCATCATCATCATCATCATCATCATCATCATCATCATCATCATCATCATCATCATCATCATCATCATCATCATCATCATCATCATCATCATCATCATCATCATCATCATCATCATCATCATCATCATCATCATCATCATCATCATCATCATCATCATCATCATCATCATCATCATCATCATCATCATCATCATCATCATCATCATCATCATCATCATCATCATCATCATCATCATCATCATCATCATCATCATCATCATCATCATCATCATCATCATCATCATCATCATCATCATCATCATCATCATCATCATCATCATCATCATCATCATCATCATCATCATCATCATCATCATCATCATCATCATCATCATCATCATCATCATCATCATCATCATCATCATCATCATCATCATCATCATCATCATCATCATCATCATCATCATCATCATCATCATCATCATCATCATCATCATCATCATCATCATCATCATCATCATCATCATCATCATCATCATCATCATCATCATCATCATCATCATCATCATCATCATCATCATCATCATCATCATCATCATCATCATCATCATCATCATCATCATCATCATCATCATCATCATCATCATCATCATCATCATCATCATCATCATCATCATCATCATCATCATCATCATCATCATCATCATCATCATCATCATCATCATCATCATCATCATCATCATCATCATCATCATCATCATCATCATCATCATCATCATCATCATCATCATCATCATCATCATCATCATCATCATCATCATCATCATCATCATCATCATCATCATCATCATCATCATCATCATCATCATCATCATCATCATCATCATCATCATCATCATCATCATCATCATCATCATCATCATCATCATCATCATCATCATCATCATCATCATCATCATCATCATCATCATCATCATCATCATCATCATCATCATCATCATCATCATCATCATCATCATCATCATCATCATCATCATCATCATCATCATCATCATCATCATCATCACATTTTGTCGATAAAAACTATCTGACTTGCAACACGGTTGAAATCTACTGGTTACAGACTATTGCTAGAATATCTGATCATAATCAACTGGACAACAGTTAAAACCAAACAGTATTGAAAAATCGTTCATAGTTTAAATTGGGAGTCACATGTAATCCTCATACATAATCTTTATCTTATTCTGTTTAGCAGATATCAGTTTGTAATACAGAACTCCAACTTTCAAACTAAACAAAAAAAGCTTCACATAGACCCTTAGTAAACTATATTTTCATTATTTAATGAGGTTTTTTACTTTGTGTTTGATAATTTCCCAAAAGAATTTAATATCAACTTACGACATGTTGCATTTCAATGACTATCTATTTTTGTAAAAATACATACCATATGGCTATATAAATCTTGTTAAATTTAGAAAAAAAGGTACACTTCATATTGGGCTGTTTTATTTTTTTATCTTAGACTTATCCCTCCCCATAGTTGTTGTATAGGTAACGTAAACCCTGTTTAAAGACAGGGATATCTCTTGACTCATTGCTATGTATGACATTGGTTGTCAACTGTTTAAAAACAACTCAGTTTCAAAACCAGAAGGTTGCTAGCATCGTTAAAATGGGTCGAAAGTAAGTCATATTAGTTTAGTGATATGCAGCGCTTCAGTAATTAAAGTTCCTTGAGGATTTCTTCCCTGTTAAGTGAATAAATCGACACTAGTGAAGTAGGACAAAACATTTTGAACGATATCGTCAGGGAACAAGTTATTTGAGCTGTTCATCAAAAAGTTTCGTCATCCAAGACGTCAGTGGATTCTATTGGTTGGCTTCCAGTCATTTTCACTGATCGTTTCATGCACAGCGGTCTTGTCGTTGTCAGTGACTTAGATGAGTTAAAAGAGCTCCTATCAGTTATCGGATTTCGTTGTTGCTTCCGACTCGTAAGCATGCTCCATTCATCAGGTTCTTACGCAAACTTTTACATAATTTCATTATGTATTAGTCTACGCTTATCGTCAAAATTGTAACTGACTGAAGTAAACCAACGTGCCCCAACTAGTTGTAACGAGCATGTAGAAATTTAGTGTTTACAAACCAAAGGTTTCACGAAACTACAAGTAACTATACTTATCTTTTAGATTCTGATTTAATGTTCTTTACTTTTTTTATCTCGCAATATCTTGACATTTTTTCACTCACTGATATTATTCATCTTTTGTTTTTCTTTTGCTCATCATTTAAATGAGAAAGAAATTTCCATTTTCAAACAAGACTGTTTATTATTTGAAAACAATGAACAAGATAACATTGTCAGTTTGCTTAGATCATTATTTTTATTTACTAGTTGAATTCATGAGTTAATTAAAGCTAGACCACCATGAAAAACTTGGAAGCACTGGACAGCCATTTCGTGGATTGATTAAAATTAGGCACCATTTGATGATGGCTCAGTGGTTTAGAGCGAGACTGAAGGTCCTAAATCCGAATCTCTCGAGCAGAATCGTCTATACGCACTGCTGAGGAGTACAGTACCGTGACAAAACGTCTTTCCAGTGAGTCAAGATTCTTCATGCTAGTTTAAATCTAATTGATTCATGAATTCAACTATTACTTACTTACTCCTGTTAATCCCAATGTAGCATAGGCCACCAACCAGTATTCTCCGACCCACTCTGTCCTCGACCTTCCTTTTGTCCAATTTTTTTCATTTTCCTCATGTTTATTTCTCGACGTAATGTGTTCTTTGGTCTTCTTCTTCTCCTTTGGCATTGAGGATTCCAAGTGAGAGATTACCTTGTGACGCAGTTGAGTGCTTTCCTCAATGTGTATCCTGTCCACTTTCAGCGCTTATTCCTGATTTTTTCCTCTGCTGGAATCTGGTTTGTTCTCTCCAACAGTAGGTTGTTGCTGATAGTGTTTGACCAACAGATCCGAAGTACTTTGCATAGAACTCAAGTATAAAATTACTAAAATCTTCACAAAACCCTCCTTCTGTTAATAAATCATTATTTTCTGTTATTGTAGGCTACAACTGAAAAATTAAAAAAAAGTAATAGAGTATAACATTATGTCATTGAAAACAGTATACCCGATATTTACTGAGAATCACTTGAATAGCTATAAAATAAATTCCTTATGGTTGATTATTCCTTAAAATATCTTATTCAGTCAATGATTTCATATTTTCTATGAGTCAGTCAGTCAGCTACAAAGTAGAACCAGGAACATATGTGCATCGTTCCAAGTTGCCATACCTCATTAGCGCAACAAGATGAACACCGGATTCATAGAGGAAGTTACTTAAATAGTAGTAATATATAAAAGGAAAATTGTATATAAGAATATAGTACAGGAAGAAAGAATTAGTTGATGGAAAGAAAGATATGAAGCGATTTTAATCTAATAGTTTAAGAAGAGACACAGTGTATACACTATGTCATTGTGTTCGATTCTGAGCCATGTCTCCAAGAGTCTCCAACCAATGGGTGCGATAGTCACGCGGATCCAAACAAAGTAGTTTGCATCTACCAACATGGCTAAGACTAGAAATTAGTGACTTCAAGCACTGATACCACGTTTTGGTTTGGCTGACCCTTAACATCCTTCCATCTGCATCCAACACTAATCAGCATTACACGTCGTGGTAACTGGTGTTCATGCATACGCAACAAGTGGCCCAAACATCTCAGTCACTGAACATTCACAACCTCATCAACTGCTTTACCATCATTCCCTAATACTCTGCGTCCAACCTCACTATTACTTAACCGGTGGTCCCAGCAGATGCCAGCAATATTTCTAAGGCATCTGTGGTCAAATACTAGTAGTTTACGAGTATCTTCTACTCTTAACGGCCACGTTTCGCAGCCGTAAAGTAGAACAGAACGAACTGCCGCGCAGTATACTCGTCTCTTAATTGATAAACGGATATCTCGCCTTCACCATAGGTGATGTAAGTCGGCAAAAGCCGAACGAGCTTTTCGAATCCGTGCTGAGATTTTTTCAGACACCAACCCATTGGGGCTGTTATTATCATAATTAGTTTCTATGGTAATAACAGTGATTTGTATTTAAAGAAAAGCGAGGACTATTCAAAATTGAATATAATGAGTATTTAACTTGAAAAGAAAACTAGCAAACAACAAAACAGTAGTACAATATAAACTTAAAATGACCAACAAAAAACAAACAAACTCATTAAGTAATTAAACAATGAATTCTAAATTTATGTTATTTTTTTATTGTACTTATTAGCTACTTATATTGTAGCATTAATCAAGCATCTTGATAACCGTTATTATATAAATCCCAACGGTGTTTGAAATCAGAGGGCAATAAAAAGCGGCAACTATAGTTTATTTGCGTATAGCACGGATAACAAAGCTACAAGCACATTGAGCGAATTTGAAGTAGAGGGTGAATGTGTGTGTGTGTGTGTGAGCAAATACAGAGGCTAATGAGATATATGCATAGGCTGTTATGTGGTCAAGCGTACACGTTTATACAGACAAGATGGTGATCATAATAATACAAAGATACAGACGAATTGTTACTCTTCAAATAACATTGTCTATTAAGTAAGCTAATAAAACGGCTTAACAAAAATTAACCATCATCGAAATTGATTGGTTAGACTATAAATTATGGACAACCTTTGAGCAACGCTTAAATGACCTTGGAAGTCTTCATTTAGTAACTAGGACCAAATGAGGGTTATAAACCAATGTGAGGAATTAGAATTATGATTTACAGTTGATGGTTAAGGTTGTGAATTAGATTTAGGATTTTCATCACGGAGTGACATCATCTATAATGACAAAACTCTATTTAGCCAAATGTATGAAGGAATTTCGCGCCAAAATCCCAGAGACCTATTATCTTACACCTGATTGATTAGTCTATAAATTATAGCCTCGCCTTTATATTCATGAGAAACGATTAAAAATTATTTATATTAGAAATATCTATAGTTATACTCTTCAGTTTTATCGGGATCCTTTCTATTAGTAGGTGTAATAAGGCTTTGTAATACGTTGGACAACAATCCGTTCCATATTCAATCACATATAATACCGAATCAATCTAAAGGCTAAGCTTTATTTGAAAACTTGTTACGGCTTACTTATTGCATAATTTTTTTCTTTTAAAATTATCATTATCGCTTACATTTTTATTACAAATACCACAGTAAGCATATGTATCAAACGATAATGAATAGGTAAATCAATATTTCCAGATTATATATTTTAGTGTAAAACCGTCATTAAACACTGTTACACCTTAGCAACAAAAAAGGAACCAATATTAAGTGGTAAATTTGAAATGTGGCTATTAGTTGGATACAGATTGTCTGTTTCGTCCTAGTTGATGCTCGTCAGCTGCATTTAAGCATTTATGGTTGCACTAAGATGCGAATCAATCAATTAAAAAGCAAACATTTTATTCATCAATCTACTGAATTTAGATTCCTAATAACTCGTTCAATAGATATCAACATACAAACACATATAAATACGTTCATCAATCAATTATAGGTACAGCCAGCTGATGAGTTCCAAATAGGAAGAAACTAACATTTTGCATTCTGTTGTTAATTACAATTCAAATTATAATAAAACGAGTAAATAAATAACATTTTGAGATGTTGAAGATTTGTAGCTCAAGTAGATGAATTTGATAGAGTTTTGTTATCTGTTCTGGATGGTTTGGTCGTGGAGCTTTCATTGTTCTTCTGAACGACATCATCCGAACAAACTTCTAGCTGAATAAATAACACTATCTAGACAATCTATACATGTCAAAATATACGGGTGAATGGTAGTTTTGAAAATTTTCGAATCTCTTACAAACTAAAGAAATTCACCCCGTAAATAAATGCTAAAACGTTGAGTAATTATATCTCATAAGTTGAAATTTTACACTTTCTCACTTAATTATACCCTACATGTAATGCACTGGATAAAAATGAACATTTATATCATTTTGGATAAGCAAACGAAGGGGTAAGTTCTCATAGACAGATCAATTCTATTATTACGAAAAACACATGGAACAAATACAGTATGCTTGTTTATTGAAAACTTAAATGAATAACACTTCATACTTGGT